TACGGGCCAAATAGCAATGTAGAATACCCAGCCTTCTTGCAGGCACTGGGAGGGGTACTGGAAAGTGCTCCTCCCGGTGATTCCATCGTCCTGTTGGGGGACTTCAACACTCACGTGGGCAGCGACAGTGACACATGGAGGTGCGTGATCGGGAGGAACGGCCTACCTGATCTGAATCCGCCAGGTCTCCGGTGCCTGTCGTGGCGGCAACTCCCAAACCCAGTGGTGGACACCTGAGGTAAGGGATGCTGTCAAGTTGAAGAAGGAGTCCTAACAAGCCTGGTTGGTTCGGGGGACTCCTGAGGCAGCCAACGGGTACAGGCAGACCAAGCGGACTGCGGCTCGGGTAGTTGCGGAAGCAAAAAATTGGGTCTGGGAAAAATTTGGGGACACTATGGAGGAGGACTACCAGTCGGCCTCAAAAAAATGCTGCCAAACCATCCGGCACCCCAGGAGGGGGAAGCAGTTTCCCAACACCGCTGTTTACAGTGTGGGGGGTGGGGGGGGCTGTTGACCTCGACTGGGGATGTCGTCGGGAGGTGGAAGGAATATTTCGAGGATCTCCTCAATCCCACTGACACGCCTTCCGCAGAGGTAGCTGAGGCTGAGGAGGCTGATCCTCCCATCTCCCGTGCTGAAGTCACCGAGGTAGTCAAGAAGCTGCTCGGTGGCAAGGCGGTGGCACCGAGGGTGCATGAAATCCGCCCTGAGTACCACAAGTCGCTGGATGTTGTGGGGCTGTCTTGGTTGACACGTCTCTGCAGCATCGCGTGGCAGTCCGGGACAGTACTCCTGGACTGGTAGACTGAGATGGTGGTCCATCTTTTCAAAAAGGGGGACCAGAGGGTGTGTCGGGGGATCACACTCCTCAACCTCCCGGGAAAAGTCTATTCCAGGGTACTTGAGAGGAGAATAGTCGAACCTCGGATCCAAGAGGAACAATGCGATTTTCGTCCTGGTCGTGGAACGCTGGACCAGCTCTATACCTTCCACAGGGTGCTTGAGGGGAGACTCATGGGAGTTTGCCCAACCGGTCCACGTGTTTTGTGGACTTGGAAAAGGCGTTCGACCATGTCTCTCGTGGTATTCTTTGGGGGGTGCTCTGAGAGTATGGGGTTGGGGGCCGTCTTCTAAGGGCTGTCCGGTCCCTGTACGATCAGAGAAGGAGCTTGGTTCGCATTGCAGGCAGTAAGTCGGACCTGTTTCTGGTGCATGTTGGACTACGGCAGGGCTGCCCTTTGTCACCGGTTCTGTTCATTATTTTTATGGACAGAATTTCTAGGCGCAGCCAGGTGTCGGGTGGGGTCCAGTTGGGTCATGACCGAAAGCACAAGATCCCGGATACAAGCGGCCGAAATGAGCTTTCTCCGCAGGGTGGCAGAGCGTGAGGAGCTCTGTCACCTGGGAGGAGCTCGAAGTAGAGCCACTGCTCCTCCACATCCATAGGAGTCAGCTGAGGTGGCTGGGAAGAGACCTAGGGGAAGACCCAGGACACGCTGGAGCGACTACGTTGCGCGGCTGGCCTGGGAGCGCCTTGGGGTTCCCCCAGAAGAGCCTGGGAGGAAGTGTCTGGGGAGAGGGAAGTCTAGGTGTCCCTGTTCAGACTGTTGCCCGCGCGACCCGGCCCCGGATAAGCGGATGATGATGGGTGGATGGATGGATGGAGCGCATTTCATGCACAAAGCAAACTCAATGTGCTTTACAGCGGTTTAAACAGTTAAATATAAAAAGAGAAAAGAAAAAAAAAACAGTGGTAAACATCCCCGGCCCTTATACACCCTCACATCAGCTGAGAAACAACTCCCAAGAAATACCCTTAGTAGGTTAAAAAAAAAAGGAAGAAACCTCAGGGTGAGAGGTTTCTTCAGGTTTCTTCAGTTACTGACTAATTACAGTTACTGACGTTACTGTAATTCAGTAGCTTTTGTGTACTTAAACGTATTAGTACTTGAACTTATTGGCGCACTACCAATGAATGGGAATATTTTCATACATAAGGCACACCGGGTTATAAGGCGCATTACGCGAAACAATTAAGCGGAACAATCAAGCATTCCTGGATCCCTCTCGTCAATATCCTAGTCAGTGTCATTGCTGTTAATTAGTTTTTCGGGTATGATTCAACATTGGAGATTGATCCCTTACCCCCGGCATCCCCGATCCATTGGCAGGTAGTAGCATAATTCCCCCGGCGTTGCCTCCCTGTCTTGGTGAATGTGTGTTCGCCTTCTGTCATCCAATGCTTCCACGCAGCTCGCAATTTAACTTTGAACACCCTGTTAACACCAATATTTAGCGGTTGGAATTCTGTGGTTGATCCACCCGGAATGATGGCAAGCCCCGAATTAGTTTGTTTCACTTGGGTTTTGACAATTGGTGAGATGGGCGCGCATGGAGTTGTAGATTAATAGGGTAGGAGATTTGTGGAAAAGGGTGGTGACCTAAGATGGACACAGGAGGATGCTATTGTTGTTGTTCGCTCCTCCAGAGTCAGGCGGTTGTCACTATTTTTGTTGTGGGTGGTCACCGTATTGTTGTTTTGACGCTGTTTCGTGCAGAAGTGCGGATGTTGTTTTGCAAAGAGAGTGTGAAACAAATCCTGTCTCGATAAAAAAGGAGAAATAAAGAGTTTTTGACCACGAAAAAAATCGACAGCCATGTGTCTGAGTCGTCCTTCTGCATCGCACCATACATCGACAATTCAAAAACACAATGCATTCTCCGGGTGTTTGGAGGCATGACGCGATGTTGCACGGATTTGGGTTAGACAACCATACTGTAACAATTGTTGTTGAGCATCTTCTAATTGTGATTACAAAGTAAAGTTTAACTGTTAAACGCCATTGTTGGCTCCCAGTGTGCTTCAGTTATGTGCCATCATGTGTGATGCGCTGTGTGGTTTGGCTTTATAAAATCGGTTCGAGCTCAGTAGGCGCAACCAGAAGTAATACATAAGGCGCACTGGGTTATAAGGCGCACTGTTGATTTTTGAGAAAATTAAAGCAGGCTTTTAAGTGTGCCTTATAGTGCAGAAAATACGGTACTTACTTTTAAGTACTGTACCTCGGTACATTTTAAATTACATCCATTACTGAGTATAAAAAGCTAAATCCTGGACCAAATTTTCAAGTTCCTGATGGTACCTAGACGCACTTTGTGTGACCATAGACAGCAGTAATGCAATCTATGGTCAAGGAAACTACTGCAACAAATGATGGGAAGGAGGACTAGCTCTTAAGTCACACAAATGATGGAAATGCATATAGAAAGTTGTATTCTTTGTATAGAGGAAAATTTTGCAGCATTGTGATGCTAATGTCACTGTTGAACGAAACTCTGCAGTAGAGAGCCTATCTTTGACTAAACTCCCGAGAAAATAAATAAGGGGCACCTCACTGCAGACCCACTTTTGTTTGTGAAACTTTCTTTTCTGAAGTTAATTAGAGGCATATTTTTTGAGACATGAACACGTGGATGATAAATTATTACTTAGTAATTACAGCAAGAAAAAATAACAGAATTAAATCAATATATTTCTCAAACAGAAACCAATCCTGCTTAACTTAAACCACTAATCACTAACCCACCACTGCCCACTGCTGCCCCAAAATTAATTTGAATGAAAATGAATGTGAATTTACTTGACAGTGGAATGAGGTAAATAGAAGTACACATGCATATAAATAATAACGTCAGGGCTGTTCCTGTTGACCCATATGTTCCCAGATTCCATATTAAAATGCAATTGGAACACAGCCTAGGAATTATGACTGGAATTATCCAGAGCACATAGTATTTCAACAGCAGGAGATAATATATGTGAAACAATGATTAAAATGTGTTTTCTTTGATCTTCAAAGCAGACTGTGAAGAACACAATAGATTACAATAAATATTTTACTTTGATCTATCCATCTATCCATTTTCATCCACTTATCCGTTACCAGGTCGCAGGGGCAGCAGTCTCCATGACCTCCACCCAAATCACATTGCACCGTACCAACCCCCCTAAACCTTCCTGCGGGTGGTGAGTCCACTGGACCGGTATTCGAACTTGCCCAGGAGGTGAACCCTGGGGTTCCACACCAATGACAGAGACATTGCCTCTGGGACAAAGCGCCACTTTACTTTGATCTATTTAATGAGAATATTTCACAATGTGCAACCTTGTGGCATGTGAAATCTGTAACGCAAAACCTGAATACTGACTGCTATTTAAAAAAAACAACACCAATAAACTAAAACGAAAGAACATAAATAATTATCATGGATTTGCCTGGTGCTTCTTTAAAGGTAATTCTAGGTAGGATCAACTGCCATCTAGTGGCAAAATTTGATGCTGCATTCACATTTGACTATTTCAGTGTTTTGACGCTATTTATATACTACTTTTTTTTTACTATTAATATGCTTTGTTTTTCTTCCTGGTACGTGTACATCTATTTGAACTGTTTTCGTAACCAATGTTCACCTTTTCTCAGTACAACTATTTACATGAAAATTATAATTAAACAATTATGATAATTTTCCCCAAAATAAAAACCCATACGACAATAGAATACTAAATTTTGAACTACAATAGACCCAAACATACTGAAGGCAGGTCTAGTTCCCACAAATCCAATCAAAGACGTTTACGAACCCTCTGTTGAATTGCTGCGTGTCAGCCAATCAGCATAATTATTGAATAAAACCCTAACCAATCAGTTTGTCGCATGTTTACTTGTCCAGAATGAGGCAGTGGATGATGTGTGTTTTGTACACACGTCACAATTGATACCGAAAACAAGTTATTATTTTAGATACTTTTGTTTTTCAGGTTTCGCTTTCAGCTCGCAGCAATTTCGGCAGCAGACAACCATTGTTGGAGCTTTAAACCTCGGCTGAGTCACCGAAATTAACTCGTTGGTGATGGCATCATGCTAGTTGGTTTTATATTTGGCCTCAGCTGTGTTTCACTCACAATGGAACTGACACTTTTCCTAACTTTGTGTTTGCAGAGATGCAGCTGGAGGCTAAAGCTCAGGAAATGAAGAAACTGGGGAAGAGGGAAAAGGCCCACAAACTGCTAGTGCATGCTCTCAGTATGAACCCTGACTTTGTGGAAGCTCTGACAGAGCTTGGGACCATCCTGGAGGAGAAGGATGTAGTCCAGGCTGATCATCTCTACACCTGTAATGGTCATCTCCCCCTGTAATGAATGGTCTCTGGTGAGCCGCCATCGGACTCTGCCTTTGGTGGAGGAGCTTGACCAGCGTTACTTTAGCATCATTGACAGTAAAGTGAGGAGGCTTATGTCCATTCCCAAAGGCAACTCTGCACTGTGTCGGGTGATGGAGGAAATGTACTATCACCACATCTACCACATGGTGGCCATGAAGGCAGCACGCTCACCCTGTCTGAAATTCGTTACATCCTGGAGACGCGCTACGCTGTACCTGGGAAACGTCTGCAGGAGCAGAACGAGGCTGTGGGCATAGATGCTGCCATGAAGTTCATGAACACCACACTGTTGTCCACGTCTGCAGCCATCACTGTCAGTGACATCCTGGAGATTCACCGGTGTGTTCTTGGTTACCTGGACCCCATGGAGGGAGGGAGGCTGCGTACCAACCAGGTCTTTGTGGGTCACCACATACCGCCCCACCCTCGGGACCTGGAGAAACACATGCAGGAGCTTGTGCAGTGGCTTAACTCTGAGGAGGCACTGCAGCTCCACCCTGTAGAGTGCGCTGCTCTCGCCCACTACAAACTGGTTTACGTTCACCCATTCATAGACGGAAACGGACGCACATCACGTCTGCTCATGAACCTCATTCTTATGAGGGCCAGGTATCCACCGATCACCATACGAAAAGAGCAGAGAGCTGAATATTATGCAGCTCTGGACAGGGCCCACTTTAGGTTCAGGTTGTTTTGATTTTCAACAGACTTCAGTCGATGTTTGCGTAGCTTGTGACTGTAAACAGCTTTGTTTTTGTCATTTTGACAAATCAGTAGTTTCTAGTGAAGTGAACATTGACTTAACCAAGAGGTCATATCTCATGACACGCTAACACACTTTCAACTTTACAATAATTTATTAGTTTTTACAACGGTGCAATGTGATTTGGGTGGCGACTGCTGCCCCCGCGACCCGGTAACGGATAAGCGGATGAAAATGGATGGATGGATATTAGTTTTTACAGTAATTGTTGTAATTCCTATTTGGTGCGTCCTGATGTCAAATACTTAATTTAACAAAGGTGTTTGTGTCCAACTGGGATCCAGTTTTATTTAAATGCTTTATTAAACAAAGGAGACACGACTTTTCTTTACACAAACTAAACCAAAAATCCACATTTAAAAAACAGACATCGGAGCTTGTGCAGTGGCTTAACTCTGAGGAGGCACTGCAGCTCCACCCTGTAGAGTGCGCTGCTCTCGCCCACTACAAACTGGTTTACGTTGACCCATTCATAGACGGAAACGGACGCACGTCACGTCTGCTCATGAACCTCATTCTTATGAGGGCCAGGTATCCACCGATCACCACACGAAAAAAGCAGAGAGCTGAATATTATGCAGCTCTGGACAGGACCAACGAGAGCGGTGTCAGGCCGTTCATTCGCTTCATAGCCAAATGTACAGAGATAACATCGGACACGTTATTAATTTCTACAACAGAACGCACTGTGGGTTTGCCTGAGGCTGAACAGGACCAGCTCTGTTCTGACTGCAAACAGACCATTCCCATCCACAACTAAGCTGCCAATGAGAAATCTACCTGAGCTGCATGAGGAAAACAGTGGTGTGAACAAATGAACACAATGACATTTCAAACTGCTGACTTCATAGAAACAGGTGCAGAAAGACTTGCTTCTGTTTGGTTCACTTCCATTGAAAAGTTTAGTTTCCCCCACTTTAGGTTCAGGTTGTTTTGATTTTCAACAGACTTCAGTCGATGTTTACGTAGCTTGTGACTGTAAACAGCTTTGTTTTTGTCATTTTGACAAATCAGTAGTTTCTAGTGAAGTGAACATTGACTTAACCAAGAGGTCATATCTCATGACACGCTAACACACTTTCAACTTTACAATAATTTATTAGTTTTTACAACGGTGCAATGTGATTTGGGTGGCGACTGCTGCCCCCGCGACCCGGTAACGGATAAGCGGATGAAAATGGATGGATGGATATTAGTTTTTACAGTAATTGTTGTAATTCCTATTTGGTGTGTCCTGATGTCAAATACTTAATTTAACAAAGGTGTTTGTGTCCAACTGGGATCCAGTTTTATTTAAATGCTTTATTAAACAAAGGAGACACGACTTTTCTTTACATAAACTAAACCAAAAATCCACATTTAAAAAACAGACATCATACGAGATGTTGAGAGACCAACATATTTCAAGACTAGGCCACTTTGGTGAGAGCAATACATATAGCTTGTGTTCCATCTGTTCGGAAAATATAGATTCAATTTTACAAACTCTAACTGTTAGAAATGATGACACGGAACATTTTGATCTTTACCATCCAGACGTGTTGCTGTGAAAACAGAACTGCATGGACTCTCCTGTCGTGAAAATTGAACCAAAGAACTAAATACAATTTTTTTTTCTTTTTTTTTTTTACAACAATCACAGGCTTTTATACAGAGTTAGGACTTGTACAACATTTGTGAAATGTATTTTTCTCTTCCAAAAAGAACTATTTTTACAAACTTGACACGACTGGGACTGGAAGATTACAGACCATAATACATTTTTAAAGCCAGTAAAAATAATGTAAGGTTCTATTGTAAAGCCACTGTGTTCAGAAATGCTGTGTAAAATATTCATGCTCTGTATGAAAGCTGAACTGAAACACTTTGGAGATGATGAACAGGCTGTGCCAAAAATAAAATAAAAAAAAAAACGCTTTGGTTTCTCTCTTCTTCTTCATCTGGCGTTACCACCAAAGTAGTCCATATCATGATTTGGCAACTTTTTTTCTCCCAAATGTTCTTCCTGACACGACCAAACACGTGGATTGAAACCTGGACCCTTCTGCATGATGGGCAGAAATCGTACCACTGTGCCATTCTAGACTTACGTAGGCTTTATAAATCACAAATATTGAATAGTAATGATTTAATAATAAAAACATGTACATTTGTAATAATATTAATAAAGCATATCATTTTCTTTATATGATCAAAGAGTAATTTCGATATAGAAATTAATTCTATTTAAATTGTACTGCATTTTATGACAACTTTCTCATAACTGCAATACATTCAGATTTGTCTGAATGTATGTTATGTTATTTTAACAGATTTTTCTAATGGATGTTTTGAGGTGACTAAAAAATTACTAATTAAATTAATGTTTAAAAATAATGTAAATAAAAAGAGGAAAAATTTTCCTCTTCTTCCTAGAAAAAACTATTAGCCGCTCTAATGGATGTTTTGAGGTGACTGAAAAATTACTAATTAAATTAATGTTTAAAAATAATGTAAATAAAAAGAGGAAAAATTTTCCTGTTCTATAAAAAGTGTCTGACTCAAGTTCTGAACCTCTGCAACATATTTGAATAACTGGAAAGATGGTTTTCGTTTTATTTTGCATGATGCAACACATGTTAGTGCTTTCAAGATGGCTACCAGGTAAGAAGATTTTTCTTTCTGTGTAGGTTCTCAGTTATCCAGGTCATCTTATCCACAAATAGTTTAATTGAGGCCAACTGGTCGGTGCAGGTTTGACATGTGAAACATCTTCAAGAAATTTACTCCATCCAGTAGCTCTTGATGTAACTATTTTTGGACAAGATTTCTTTTTCTGTGGAAAAGTCTCACAGGAGAAAGTTTAACTTCTCCTGTGAGACTTCATACATGACAGTATTGATTAACGTTAGCGATACAGCTGGTTTTCCTTGTTTAGAAAAATGTTTGCTAATGTTTTTAAGACTTTACTCATGTTTAATAAGTTTCATGGAGTACAGATTTGCTGGTCATCATGGCATTTGTGGAACTCTCACGATAGTAAGGCTTCTTGCTTCTTTTTAGTGATATTTTGAAATGTTAAGATATAATGGGTTTTGGAGGTTTTAGCACATATTTACTCAGCAGCATGTTTTGCGGCACAAACTTGCATTTTGAGGCATTTCTAGGACTATTTTTTAGCATTTTTTTAACAATAATAAGGCTTTAGTCTTGCTTCTTTTTGGTGATATTTTGACATGTTCAGATATGATGGTTTTTGGAGTTTTTAGCACAGATTATTCAGTTGGCAGCATGTTTTAGGGCACAAACTTTTTATTTTTTTATTAAGGACATGTTTGAAAAATGTTCAAAAAGGTATTAAATTGAGTGAATATTTTAAAAACACCAATCATAACCACTGCAGACTTTGTGATTAATGGATACAAAGAAAATTTGTTGATCTATTTTTTTCCAAAAAAATCCATGTCTCCAATCTATGAAACCAGGATTTCATAAGAATGACCTATATGCATCTATTAATTAACACAGCTTTAGCACACACTCGATTATTTTAGACAAAAATATTAGTCCATCAGTGACCTTTAACCTTCTGGATTCTTACAGTGAAGTTCTATTTGACAATGATTTAATCCTTAACCAACAGGTACATTCAACGGTGCAATATGATGGGATGGTAGTTTTCATGACAATGTTTCCTCATATTAACTGGACCCCCCAGGGGCATCAAAATAATGTTGGCATTTGATGGAAAAAAATAATAGTAGTACACGTTCATCTCCAACAAAAGTATGTTCCCTAAAAATAACTGGAAAAGATCTGGAGGATATCTTCACTGTGATATAAACAACAAGTAGTTCACTTTCCTTTTCCTTCTTTTCCTTAACACACACGTATAGGCAAACACACCAACACACATCACCTACACAACAAATGTACATGTCATAATCTTTGTCATAACCTCAACACTCAAATTCAGGCTGTTTCAATTTTTAAAAATATACTTAGAGTTTTCTATCAAACCCTCGTCACGTAACACAACAAGACACTTTAAAACAGGAGGTTTACAATAGATAGTGTATTTACACACAGCTATAATACACTTTCAATAAAATGTCCTGCCCTAAACACTGTCACACAGCTGATAATTCTTGGTTGAAAAGGGTTTGTAACAAAGGAGCTTAATGATTAAGGCAGTCTGTTTGGAGTAAACAGTTAGAGGAAAGAAAGAAAAAAAACTCACCAACACTGATATGTAAGGACACAAGATTGCGATCAGTGTGAAGGCAGTCATGATTCTCTTACTTGTTTAGAACCATCCTGGCAAAGTCTGAATTGGACAAAGATTTAGTCTCTGTGGCTGCGTTCAGCAACAAGCTGCTGGATTCAGTCGAGCCTCCATTCTCCACCTTTTTTACGGATCCACTCTGTCTGTGGAGGGACCGAGGGAGCAGTGACTCCTGGGTTTGACCTTTTGCTCTCCTATACAAAGAAGAAGAAAAACACAGGTGTGTGTTTGTGGAGTTCCACATTGGAGAAAGGCAGAGGAGAATGAAACTTACGCTCTGTAGACCTGGCGAAGCATCATGTTGCCCATAGGTTTGCCGGATCCAGGAGCTTCCATCATGTTCCTGCGTGGAGGATTACTTATAGCCACTGAGATCATGTTTCCTTCTACTTCTGTGCCGTCCATTTTCAAAACTGCCTGAGAAGCTTGAGTATCATCAGCAAACTCAACATATGCTAGACCCTGGAGACATGCAGAAGACAGATATGGTTCAGAGGAGCCCTTTATGGGACTGAAATAAATGTTTTTAGGAGATTTTAGAACATTTATGAGGGAAGTCTTTGTAGTATTTTGTAGAGAATGTTTAGCTTTTCTTTTAGCATTGACTTGTTCTGAGCTAACTTTTAGTTAAACAAACTGGCCACAAAAAGTAATTTGGTGTAAAAACTGCTAAATCACTGTGATGACCCCTGATGAAGGGATGAGCTGAAAGTTATTCTTCTGTTGGAGTTTATTTATAGTTTAGTTTATTAATTATAGCCATTTTCTTTTCACAGCTGTACTTTCTGACATGAGGACAGACGTCCAAGATTGCCGTTTGTGCAAAAGGGTAACTTATTATTAACAGGATCACTGTATAATGACAACTACTAAAGACAGTCGCCAATGATAATTAAAGTCCAGAAACATAACACATAAACCATAGAAAGGACCATGATGTCATCACACCTACAGAGACATTATAAATAGACACTGACATTACCAACAGTAATCTTACAGTCAGTATATTAATTAATATAAAAGAATGTTTTGTGGTCCTAAAGGCTACAACAGATCTTTTAATCGTGTGTTTTTATGCATGAACAAAGAGCCCTACTTCACTCCATTTGGCAGCTGAGACTCCATTGGGTAGAAGCAAGTACTTTCTATTGGTAGAAAATATAAACTGGGAAAAATTATTTTTGTTAATGCCTGTGGCTACAAGTCATTGATGAAGACTGCTATGTCAGGAACATGGTGCTAAGTCTCACCTTCGGTTTCCCTGAGCGATATGTGACTCAACGCACTTCTCTGACACCTCAGTGTTTTTTGCAGATTTCCTCCAGTTGCTCTTTAGTGCAAGAGAACGGCAGACCAGAGATAAAGATTTTGTGTTTCTCCATCGATGTGTTGTATTTGAACACCTGCAAGGACAAAATTAAAAAAAAAAAAATTCCTGTGGGTACTAAGGACTTGACAGAAACAGACTTTGTTTACCTTAAAGTTGGGATTTTAGTTTTTATCCACACAAGGCAACACAAACATGGGCCTTCTCAACTCTTGTCTGTCCAGCTTCAGGGCTTCGGTGACTGATGAAGGAGATTCAAACTGAATGTAGCAGTGGCCTTTGAAAGTCCTTTTGTTGCCGAAGATGGGGAGAACCTGTTCTATGGAGCCGCACATCTCGAAGAGCGTCCTCAAGAACGAGCCAAAGCAACACATGCCCACTCTCTCTCGCTACCAGAGGAAAATTCAAAACAGGAAGACTATTCCGATGAAGATACTGAAAATCATCTTGGGCATAACCAGACAGCCCACCAAATCATCCTAGACCGCTACAAAACGACTCCATCAGATAGCCAGGCTGGAGCCATACCGCACTCGTCCAGAGCCAAATCCCTTGGCACACCCAAGCCGGTGTATTATGACATCCCTGATTCATCAGCGGATGAACTGGACCATAGACATAGAGAGCGCCATGAACAATCAGTAAATAGTTCAGACAGTGAATATTCAGAAAGATCAAGGAGGTCACGTAGAAAGGCAACCCGTGAACCTCGTATACGTCAAATTGATCTGCTAGCGCAGGACATTGAACGTTTTGATCCAGATAATAAAAACATTAATGTTAATGATTACCTACGGGAAGTTGACCGATGCCTTGTAGATCTGCCAAACGCCACAACACGGGAAAAGCTTAGGCTAATCTGGAAGACGTCTAGCAGCAATGTTCGGGCTTTCATAGAGACACTAACCCCAGAAGTCCGTGATAGCTACACGAGACTTCGTAAGTACTTGAAGGAAGAGTACGAGCAATACACTGACGAGACGTCTGCAATGTTGTGTGCTATGCAAATCGAGCAGAAACGGTCAGAATCCCCACGTGAATATTATAGACGGCTACGCAACGCATATTTCCAGGGTAGCAGTGCACCAGGCTTGGAGGAAGATAGAGGTTTCAAATCCCTCTTCTTACACAACCTCCACTCAAGTGTACGCAACCATGTCACAGTGACATGCAGACAGGGTTACTACTCCATGAGGGAAATTAGGCAGCTAGCCCAGATGACCTGGGAGACAGTCGTCAGACCAATGGACAGACTTGACGACGAACCCAGAGTCTTTAGTCTCCAGGATGCAGGAAATTCCCTGTTAGACTTAGAAGGGAGTGAAGCTCCACCAGGGAGACACACCTGGAGAAACCCTGCTCCAAAACCCCATCACCAAAGTGAGTGGGGAAGGAGACAAAATAGATACAGGAACAACCATGGTCAAAACTTCAGCAACAACAATAATTACAACAACCGACCCCGTGAAAGAGGTCGTAAAGACCAAGGTGGTTGGAAACGAGACGGTTACCAACAGTCAAACAAGAGATGGTGGAAACAGTCTGAGCGTGATCCGAAGCATAGGGGTAGGCATGTTCGTTTCTGTAACTCAGACGAACTGAGTGAGCTCCACTCAGAATTGGAGTCTGTAAAGGCTCAGTTAGCTGAAATTATTGACAGGTTTAATAGAGACCAGACCCCTCTTAAAAACGAATGAACACACCAATTAAAACAAACTTTACCCTTTAGCAGTCCTCACTCCAAAAGGGGGGTGAACGATAATTTGGTCTAACCCCTGACAACTAACACTTCTTTCCTTTCCTTCATTCCTTTTCTTTTCCAATGTGAAGAAATGAAGTTAATGGGTATTTTTAAATTGTGGTACATGAACGTGTTAGTCAGGTAGTGAGTTATCATGTACCCACATGTGTATAGCATGGTATTTGCCCAAATGCCTACAGCCTGGTATTTGCCCAAATGCCCATGCCTTGAACTGTTTGTCAGGACTCAACTTCTTCTGAGATTTTACAGGACTAAATGGACAATATGGATGACAATGGATTATGGAATATGGACTGTACAACCTTGTGCTCTCAGGGTTACGACTCTGTCATATCCCTAAGACCAAAGGGGGGATATGTAGGTACTACAACAGTCCTTTCAAGGACTCAAACTCCCATAATTCCACTGCTTCCGGTAAATCCACATACGTCACGATCAGTAACCTCCGCAACCTTTAAATTGGGGGGTCAGCCCAATATCGTTCTCTCTGTTCAGGACTTTCGCTCCGTAGGACCTCGATGAAAAGAGAAAACCTGCTCGTCTCAGAAGACTAAGAACCAACGCGCTTTTGTAGACACCATTGCCCACGGTGATAAATGCACTAGTAGCGTCTTTTTCTTAACTGAGTTAACCGGTAATTAAGTTACACAAGTAACGTAGCGCTGCGACCAAAGCAGTTATTGAAAAGTTAGAAGCGACAGGATTCCTTCTAACGGTATTCGTGTGAACCGGCACATCGACAGTCAGAGACTTTTCCTCCTGAAACGGACTTTCGGAACCAAGAGGACTCTCTGGACACAGTGGAACCAGACGGACGTCCCCAGCTCTGGCAAGGACCCAAGAAGCACGGACTTTCCACTACCCTCTAAATACGAGCAGACGTTCACTACAGTAAGGCTGGCATTTGGGCACGTTAGTTAATCTGTAGTATTGTTAAGTGCTATTTAAACTTAGGGACAGTTTAAGTACGCATATTGAATTTTGTTGTCTGAAATCTGTGCTGCTTTTATAGCTAGGCTGTTGCATGCACTTCTTTTCTAACCTCCTGACTCGGTGTTATACTCTTGTACACCGTCAGTATTTCAGTGTTAACTTGTAACGTTATCAGTATTGGGATCAGGAAAACTCCGACAAAGTCCTTTGTCTGGAGTAGACCACGCGGTACGCCTCCCTTCCCCCATATACTTTGATAACATCACAAGCACTGTTTCATTGTACCTGAGCGCATCTTGGTGCGCGTACACAACACCCATTCACACCTCCGTGAGCGCATACACGCCTCACGTGTTTCCTGTTGCCGTTCCTTCTACCTCGTATAATAGTAATGCAAATGTAGATTGGGTTATTGATGGGCACACCGTGGTAACTTTAGCCAAAGGCAGCTAAATAACGGAGCTACTTTACAGCACAGTCCTTAAAAAAATTCTTACCTTGGCTCCCTGTTCGTTAAGTCTGTTGAGATGAGTCTCTGTCTTCTGCACTGCCAAGTCCCAGTCCTCCAGAGAACCTGTGGTTGGGGTTTAACAAGAAGAAATAATGACTGTTGAGAAGAGTCAAACACCTGTTTTTATATTAAACTTGACATTGACTCACCTTCGACTCTCTCAAAAGTGAGCAGGACTTCACAAACATGCTCTGGATAATCTGAGCTGCACTGAACTGCTCGATGAAGAGCTTTACGGCAGTGAACTGTGTCTCCGTACGACCTATATGCACACATACATTTTGGTTATTTGGTTTTTTTTTTTCTTAAATTGAATCCCTCAGATACTGACAGAATGACCTTTCCAGGTTAAAGTATTCCAGCCACATGTTGGCATATTTGGCGTTGCCTTTAGTCATGATACTGTCCCACAGTTCTCTCGCCTTTTGAATGTTTTTACAGTGAAGAGCCTGAGAAAGACAGAGAAAATGTTTTGCTTAAATCATAGCTTTAATAGAATCATCTACATCTAAATCATTCTAAATTAGTTCTTAGTAAAAAAAAAATTTAAAAAAAGGTCCAAGTTCAACTCCACTGAGACAGTATTAGTATTAGAACCCTTCACCTCTATTCTGGCCCAGATCTGCATTATCATGCAGGAAGGATCTCCGTTTTCACCAAATCCTACGGCAACACAAACAAAGCCCATTGCAATACTACACTGAATAACTGTCTTGTAAACACAACCTCAAAGTTACCCACTTACTTTCTTCCACATCTTGATTAATGTACTCGAGCGAGCGAGAGAAGGCTCCTCGTAACTCCTCCAACTCTTGACTTGATTCTGTAACGTCAACGTCACACATCACCATGAGTATTGAATACATTTTATTTTATTTTTTTTCTAATTTTCAACACATCTCCTTTCACCTTTGCTAAAATCCACACGTCTCCTCAGGTAGTCTAGGAAGGCCTGCCAGATTTCCACATAATCTGTAGCTTTGATGATTGCAGCAATCAAGGACTTCTCAAACACATCTGCAGATGGAGACAAAGCAACAGGAAACAACATCCACTGATTATTGATATACACAGTATGTCTTCATCTGAACAGCTTTCAGTTCTCCTCTACTGACCTGAGACTGTTTGATGATCAGCTCCATGCCTCTCCAAAGCCTGCAGGTAGCTCTTCCACAGACCCATGGTCCAATGGCAGTTCCTCGCGGCTCGTTCATGAGCTGAAAGAACAACTTCCTTGATCTTCAGCTGGCGATCCTGACAAGAACAAACAGAGAGATTTAAAACAGTTAAATTAAAAATTAAAACAGTAAAATTATTCCGTACCGAAGAATGTAGACACAATTAAATCCATATAATCCATCCATTGTTAGTAAAGGATTGTTTGAACCATGAAGAAACCAAATGAGTTTTAACCCGAGGGGAAAGTCCTAACAATAAATGAGATTCTATTAAAATCACACAGCCACTGACATTTACTCACAAGGTAGCTGGTATATTTTGCCCACAGGTCTGGAACTAGGCAGTTCTCTGCCAGCGCCCTCTCAAAGATGATCAGGATCCGAGCTGGGTCGCCCTCCTTTCGTTCAAAGTCAATGTAGCTCTGATACTCGGACATCTTTGGAGGCTCTGCTATCAGCTGTGAAACAATGACAGCATGGAGAAAACATTGCAAAGATAATGTAATTCATGACAGAGGTTTTCAGTTAGTGGTATTAGTAAAAGACATTTACCAGAGATTTTTCTAAAGATTTACGCTTCTCCATCTCCTGCATCGCTTTTGAGTACTGTGGTACCACAAGCTCAGAGACACCCTGGTCTGACCAATCTTCATATTCTTCATAGGTGGCTTCCATGTCTACAAAGGAGCACAGCTGCATCAGCTCAAAATTCACAACATACAGTCTTTAAGGGAAATGATTAATGAAGACGAACAGTTAATGAAGTATTGACAAAGCACCAAAGTATAAAAGCTGAAAATCAACTTCTAGGAGTGCATTGACTTAAAGGGTTACATTTGCCAACAGTTTACAAATATTCAAAATGAAATCGGAAATATATTGAAAATACTCTTTATTTTATTTATTTATTTATTATTTGTTTAAATTAGCATGTTTTGAAACCTTTATTCATTTCTATCCATTTAATTGTTTTTATGTACAGAAATTATGGAAGAATTATATCTTCTTCAACATTTCTTTTACAGTAAATCATTGTGACAGGTCAGGCATCACACTCACCCATTAAAGGGACGGTCAGCTGGCGTCGAAAGAGCTTGTGAATTCGCTCCAGCTGAGTGTTCAGCATCTCCTGCTCCTCACGACTAGGAATCCTGCCAGGTGGAGGCTGAGAGGAAAAACAGCCATTAAAATTTCAGTGTTGAAACTTGATAACACTGAAATAGTTTTAACAATTAACATATCTTAAACAAATCTGTGAACATGTTTGTCCAAACCTGGACTGTAGACAGGATGGCGTTTTCAAATTCTCTGTACGCCTCCCACACCAGCTGTCCTTTGGTCATGTGCAGCCCAACAGCTGTCACAGCTCTCTCAAAGATACACCTCACCTTGTCTATTCCACCTGGTGAGCCCATTCCACCAATGGAATACTGAGCATATTCAAGCCAAATTTCTGGACCTGAACAGAAAGAGTTTTAGTTCAAATGTAAAAACGACCTACTGAGCAGATATGCAAGGTCAAAACAATGGCTGTCAGGTACTTACAGATGTAGTCTTTTACAGCTCTCTCAAAAAGTTCATAAACTGTCTCTCGGTTTGATTTATCTTCATTCAGACAGATTTCATCTTTGAGCCAATCCAACCAGATATCTTGAGGAGAAAAATGCAATAAAATATACATAAACATGGCAGGGCAGATGACAGTCAATAAAATTATATTACAAAAGAAATTCCCCAACCTTCAGTGAGCGGAAAAAGTTCACTCATCTTCTGTCTTGCCTTTTGCAATCGGAGAAGTTCCCCCTCTTGTTTCAGGAGTTTGATGAGACCCATGTGGCAGTTGTAGTCGAAAGCATTGATTGACAGCTGAAAGGTGGAGAAAATTATAAAATCCATTTTAAAACTTAAAAGATGCATTAAAATTGAATCAGATTTATTTTCCAAATAAGTTAAGGGTTCAGGCATTCATTTTGACAGCCCTAAAAACATCTAGGTGAAATGTTACCCTTATACCTGTGCCATTAATATAACCTAAACTACCAAGGCAGCAATGACCTTTGACATTTCAATCACAGCCTGAGCCCAAATAAAATCTAGACAGTGTGATTAAAAGGAGGTTTTGTATTGACCAATTTGTTTACTACTGTATTTGACTTTGTGGGCACCACAACTCAAAAAGTTATGAGACGGGTACATAGATGCTGCAATATTTCAGTAGTGTGTGCCAATAACCAGGAGTGGACACTGTTTTTTTTTTTCATTTAGTAGTTTTGTGAAGGCATGTGGAAATAGCAAAAATGTGTCATTGTCAACATTAAACTACAAGTCCCATCCATCCATTTTCATCCGCTACCGGGTCGCGGGGGCAGCAGTTGCCACCCAAATCACATTGCACCGTACCAGCCCCCCTAAACCTCCCTGCGGGTGGTGAGTCCACTGGAAGATACCTAACCGGGATTTGCACAGAGGCAATGTCTCCGTCATTGGTGTGGAATCCCAGGGTTCACCTCCTAGTAGTGATGTGTCGTTCGCGAGTGATTCGTTCAAAATAAACTATAATAATAATATGACTCGTGACTACCGAGTCATATTAAATATTTATTCATATTGAACTCACAAATCAGGTGACAGATAAGCGGACGAAAATGGATGGATGGACAACAGTTAACCTTTACAAGTGATAGGGATTTTTAAAACACAATAGTTGACTGTTTAGGAGATGCAAAGACGTTCAAAATGTCTATGTTGATCGCCCATTCATTCTCATTAGCACGTTAGTTCATTTTACCTCTGTCGCTTGTTGGCTAATTACCTGCTCCTCTAAACGCTGGATTTCTGCTTCATTTTCCTTCTCGTCTTCAGACGAGTCGTCTGTATTTTCTTCTCCCATGCCTTCTTCGTCCTCCTCGTCCGACTGCATTTCTCTTTCCTCCATTCCCGCGTCTTCCTCCTCCATCTTCTGTAACTGCGTTAGCTCTGTGTTGTAGTGATGTGTCGTTCGCGAGTGATTCGTTCAAAATGAACGAATCTTTCATATGAGTCGTGACTCCCGAGTCATATGAAAGATTCGTGACTCGTGACTACCGAGTCATATTAAATATTTATTCATATTGAACTCACGAATCACTCACAAATCACTCACTGCGAACTAATCACACTCTGCGAACTAATCACTCACTGCGAACAAATCACTCTCTGC